ATAATAATGATAATAATAATATAACTACTATTATTATAACATTATAGTATTTCATCCAAGTCAGAAAAGATGTCTGTGTACAAAGCCTTGTAAACTGCCAAAATTTCCATCACAAGAAAACCTTTTGCCTCCTTGCCATTGTACAGCTAAATGATAACAACACCAACTTAGAACTACTGCAGTGCTCAGTATTTCATGAAGATGACTTCGTATTGTGCCCTCTTGACTTACTTATAAAAAGGACTAAATTAATTAAAAGATAAAAGACTTTGGTTTAAAAGTTCTCAACTTTTTTCTGATTTCAATACTCACACAATCCTCCGTGGCTAAAGTTGAGGCAAACAGGACCATGCCAAGAATTAGAGAACCAAATCCAAAGAAATGAAAGGCAATCTTTAGCTGCCAGGGAACTGGTTCCATTATTGCAAAGAGAAATGTGAAGGCTGAAACACATATTAAGTATGTATTAAATGATAGACTCACAATGCCATATCTTCTAGGCTTTATTTTGTATCATATAACATTATAAGTTATAAGCAATAAGTCATAATTTGACAAAAAGTTGTCTTGGAGACTTGTAGTTCAAATGATAGTGGAACCCATGTAGTAAGCAAAAGACAAAGGTAAAGTCTGTTTACCAGCCTAGTGGCCCTTTAGGCCGGTGCTTAACTCCGGTTTCTAAGCAAAAGACAAAGACAAAGAAAAAACACTTCTGGTTTGCTCATTTTTTTTCAACAGTTTCTCTAGTCCTTTCATTCCAATCAATTTTTTTAACTAAAAATTTGAACTAATGCACTGTTGACAAAATTTCCCAAACTCTTGAACCCTCATCACTTTTGAACTGAAATACTTTGACTCAAATCCAAAGTACAAACTAAACAATCACTTCTACACCTTCTGTGAACTTACAAAAAAGTTTGATATTTCCTTACCTAACATTGCAAATGTGAAAACAATTCCTGCTACAGTGATGTTTAACAGAGGCTCATCACAGTACCCATTACCGGTATTCTCTCTACCATGATGCAAAAAAAAAATTTATATACTGTATTTAAACTGACCAGAATACAAAAAGAATCATGAATTTCAGAGAGGTTTAAGGCACCCAGGTACATGATACAAAAAGATAATTTTGAAGTTGTAAGTAAGTTGAGAAAAACATTCAACTGGCTGGCTCTAAGAAGAGGTCCTAATTCCATAATTTTGTTTACACTGCACCAGGATCAGCTGATAACAATACTATACCAATAAAAATGATAGTAAATGGTTGATGATTTGACTAGACCTACATGCGAGTCTGTTACTTACACATGAATGACATACAGCTGTGGTATAATAAACAAAAGAGCGAAAAGTATCACAGTGATTCTCCTGTTGAGAGAGGAAATACTTTTGGTCATATTTCAGCCAAATACTTGAACCATGATTCATTAAAATTTTTATAATTACTCAGTATGTGTTTTAGATGCACATACTCTTACTAGTTAAGGATTACTTGACTACTACACCTTTTTTTTTTTTCAAATAAGGAAATAACTAAAAATGCAGAACTTTGCTCTTATAAAGAAGAAACAGAAAACATGACTTAGGTGTTTCTCTCTACTTTGTGAGTGCTCTACTGCTTGCTAAAAGTTTTATGATGGAACTGAGCAGGCTTCTTATTTGAAGAAGGGACAGTGTGGGACAGTGTGGAGCAGTGTGGGACAGTGTGGGACAGTGTGGGACAGTGTGGGGCAGTGTGGGACAGTGTGGGACAGTGTGGGACAGTGTGGGGCAGTGTGGGACAGTGTGGGACAGTGTGGGACAGTGTGGG